GACTCCACCTCTGAGCCTCGGGCACCTCATCCATAAAATGGAGAGAATAAGTATGCTGCAGAAACTTGACTGCTTGATGCTGTCTGGGAAAAAAAAAAACCATTGGGACTCAAATGAATGCCATGTCCAGTCTTGCCTCCAAGGGGCTGATGAAGCGGACAGAGGGTGGACTACGGGTGCAGAGTGGGACGTATGCTGTCAGACATGGTCAGTGTGCTTGTGTGTTTTGCTTTCTTATCCCCTTTTTGTTACAGGAGAGGACTTTGTTGATGGGGACTGTGGGTAAAGAGACTGACTGGGAAGGTGGGGCTTGCTGGGGTGAGGTGAGGGTAGAAGTCCATTCTATTCCCAAACTCCCCCTCCATCCATCTCTAGGGGTGGGGCTGGCTGGGTGGTTGGAACAATTTTGAATTTTGACACCTTCTCAGCAATTTAGAGGCTCAGAGGGTTTGGGGCACTGGAGAGGGTCCGTGACTGCCCCAAGGTCACACAGCCAGTATGTGTGAGAGACAGGCCTTGAGCCCAGGGCTTCCTGACTCTCACGGAGCCTCTGTAACTCACTAGCTGTATGACTTGGACGAGTCACAAACCATCGATTCTCCGAGACTTTTACTGAGTTACTGAGCAGGTGCCGATGTGCATCAGGAAGGGAAGGTTCCACTCTGGGAGTTCCCCAGGCTGGTGAAATCATAGGTTTGGTGCCCTCTCCCCCAAATACTCTGTTGTGTCAGGTTTGACTGGCCCAGTATATCCTTGGATGTTGGGGGCCTGATTGATTCCCCTCTCCCATTCTGTGGGCACAGGGCACTCTCCCCGCTGGTGCCACCCGTGGACGTCCATGATATGGGGTTACCAGGCAGAAGCTGAGGGCTCAGGCCACTGTTGACCCCCCTGGAAACTTCTCAGGCCACTGGACTGTCCCCTTAGCCCCAGGGAAGGAGACTGACTCCCTAGGGATAGGAGAGGGCTTGGTGTCTCTTCACTAAGGCCAAGGAAATGACATGAGCTAGCTACATTCGAGGGCCTCCCATTGTGTTTTTTAGAGAGTCGCTTCATTTCCTCCCTGCCTCCTTTGTTCTAAACTTGGCAGATGCTACCAGGCTTCAGGCTATGATAGTGATTAGATGGCTGAATTTAGAGTCAAAAAAGACCTGGGTTCAAATCTCACTTCCAATGCTTACCTACCCTGTGCCCATGGACAACTAACCTCCCCCAAGCCTCAGTTTTCTCATCTGTTAAATAGTATAAGGCCCAAGTCCTTACCTCGTGAGGTAGCTGAGGCTCAAACGAAATAAACATATGTCATCTTGTTAACTATAAAGGGTTACATCAGCATCAGTCTTTAAGATCCTGAGGTCGGCGGAGATAAGCTCATAGCCTGTCCCACTGATCTCCAGGATTTGGTGTGGGGTGGGCTTCTGGCTGGTTTGAGAGAGCACGGCATCATTCTTCCCTCTGGCCCACGTTCCCTCTCTCATGCCTCTGGGTGGGTATCTAATGGCCCTTGACTCCCTTCTTAAAGAGGCCTATTCACTGAATGGGTGTTGCCTCACTCAAAGTGAGAAACTGGAAAGACCTTAGCTTAAAAGGGCCAAGGTCTTCCATTGCATCCTGAACCACCTCTAATTGCCCTGACCTATATCTGGCCACTGGACCCAGATGGCTCAGGAGGAGAAAGTGAGGCTGGTGATGTTGCACAGCCTTCCCTCACTCAAATCAAAGTCAACTGCAAGTCATGTCATCATCTTCCTGATGTCATGGACCTCTTTGAGAACGACGGACAAACATAACACACCACAAGTGGAGCTGGGTGTGAATGGAGCTAGGCCACAGGGAAGACTTGGGTTTGTGACCATTCCCATTTCTCTGGACTTAATTAGGAGTTCATGTTACCCAACCCCCTTGTTTATCAGAGGTAGGGTAGCCAAGAGCACAGAGCACAGGACTTGGGAGCCAGCCGTTCTGGGGTTGGATGAGGCCTTAGCGGGAGTCGAGATCAATTCCTTTATTAGGCTGTTGGGTAAACAGGCAGCGAGTGGCAAAATAAAAAGTTGAAACCAGGTCTTATGACCCTAAATCTGGTGCTTTTTCCATTAGATCAGACTGCCTCCATAAATTGAGGGGGGGATCTTCTAGCTCAAAATTCTACCTCTTGAATGAGGACAAGCCCAAAGAAATGGGAAGAGCCCTAAATCCAGGTCCTCTCTCGGGTCTAACTGCATCTCTGTCCATCTTCACCAGCCTCGCCCATCCTGAGGGCTGCAGGCAAGAGAATGTGGAGCAGAGGGATGGAGGAGGTCATGATCTCTCCAACCACATAGAGGCCCAGCCCGCTACTTCCACTGTCCACCGAGATCGATCCCCAGCACGTGTCTCACGGTTTCCTCCGTCCCCAGCAAGAGTGCAGCTGGAGCCATGTTTGGCCAACAGGACAGTCTCGGAGTAGAAGACAATTGCCCCCCAAGCAAATGACCTTGTATGTATATTTCAGCATCTGCAATCAGTAGCATGTAAGCCCCTTGAGGGCAGGGATGGTTTTTCATTTCTCTCCTTGTAACCCATGTGCCTCGGGCTATGCCTTGCACATAGTAACTGTTTAAATAATTCTTACTGGATGGAACAGAATGTGCATTCATTCACTCATTCTCCCCAGATGGCATCTTTTGCTCTTTGGCCTGGCTGTTGGCCTGGGCTGAAATTATTAGACCTGCCAAGACCTAGCCCTCTTCGCTCTCATTTTATGGCCTTGGCAGGGCCGCCTCAGGCCCTGGGGCACGGCATCCTCTCTGCTTCTCTCTCTCTTGCTTGGTAACCCCCTTCAAGACTTCCCCCAGCTGGTGGGGACTCTTTTTTTTCTGTGACCTGGATGGAGATTTTCCTATGAACCTGAGTAGCTTCCTGTCACCCCTACCTAGCCAATGCTTCTCTCTGTCTCTCTCTGTCTCTCTCTCTCTCTCTCTCTCTCTCTCTCTCACACACACACACACACACACACACACCGTCATCCTTGGCTTTTTTTTGGATCTAGGAATCATAGTTTCAAAGGGTCCTGCCAATGGTCCTAAAGCCAGTTTCTATTCCCTTCCCCACCCTCACCCCCTTTCTCCATCAGCCAAAGTCACTCACATTAGGATGGCTGCATGACAAGCCACCCGAAGTTATGTGGGTCATCACTCAAGGACCACCCTTACTCCCTTTCTGAAGAGCAGGGCTACTTCTGGGGCAGTTCAGGGGGCTCCGATTCACCCTAAGGGATCCTGTCTGAATCAGAGCCCAGGAAAGAAGATACCAGAGAGGACTTGAGGTCCCAGGCTGTTGGCCCAGACATCAGCCTTTAGGACCAGAAAGAACATCTAATTAGTGACCATCAAGTCTAATCTCTTCACTTTACAAAAACAAGAAACTGAGGCCTAGAGAGAGGCAGTGACTTGTCCAAGGTCACAGAACTAATTAGTTATAGGTCAGGATTAGAACCCAGCTCTTCCTTCTCCCAGTTCCTGCTGTGTCTTAGGATTAAGTAGACCTCCCTTCCCAGATTTGTCATTCAGGGCCTGCAGGCATTTTGTTCGGGAGGGGAGGGGGCTTTGTGTGTGTGTGACTAGAGAGAGAAGCCTGCACGTTCAGAATCTCAGTCCTGAGTTCTGGCCAGACACTATTTTAGCCTTCCTCGTATGAAGTCAAGTTCTGGAGGATATTTGGGGTCAGTTGCTCTGAGCTCTGCTTGACCCTTTGGCCCTCAGCTAGCTCTCTGTAGACAACCCTGACCTAGGCTAGACCCTGGCCACCTCCTCCTTCCCAGATCTAGGTGTGCTCTCCCCCTCAGGGGTAGTGCGGTGTTTGCCAGGGGGTCTGCAGGAATCCCACCACCACAGTAATCCTAGAGTTGGAAGGGACCTTAGAAGCCATCTTATTCAAGCCCCTCCTTTTATAGATGAGACCCCGAGAAGAAAGCATCTGCCCCAACTTGTACAGGGAGTGAGGTAGAGCTGGCTTTGAGCCCTGGGTCCTCTGACTTCCATCTCAGCACTGGTTCCGTGCTTTCCCCTCCTACTGTGTGCTCTGCATTTTCCCAAGTCCTGGGAAACTCTGCTTGGTGGTCTGGCTTGAGATTCCTAGAAATGCCCCCCCTGGCTCGACCCTAGCTGGAGAGCTGCCTTTGGCAAATACAGTTCTTTGCATCCTGAGCATTCTCCATGAGCAGCTCCCGCCTCCCCCAGCCTCCATCCATCTGCAGCGGAGTTGGGCATCTCCACGACCCTGGAGAACAGGGGGTGAGCGGGTACAACTGAAGGCACCTCCCTTCTCCCCAAGAGGACAGACAGAAAGCAAGTAGCTAAAGGGAATCACAGCAAGGAAGGCTTAGGCGGGGCAGCCATTAGGGATGCGACACGCTTATTTTAGGGTAGAAATTAGGGTGGGGCTGGGGCAGGAGAAGAGATGGGGAGCATGCGGGGCCCTCAGACTCCCTGTCCAAGCTAGATGGCATAATCAGAGGCTTACACCTGGAGGGAACCAGTGGGCCCAAGCCCCTGGAGAAACCGAGGCCTCCAGAGATGAATGACTTGCCCAAGTTACAGAGGTAGTAAATGACAGAGCTGTGATCCAAACCGTCCTCTGACTCCATTTCCCTGCTCTCTGCTTCACCCCTTTTCATAGGATTAAGAGCTGTGATTGAGTTTACAGTGTAGTCCCTTCATCTTACAGATGGGGAAACTAAGGCCCTCTCAAAGTGGACATGACTTGCCCTCGGTCACACAAATAAGATAGTAAGGAGCACAGCCGGGATTTGCCCCCATTCATTGGAACATGCCCCCGACCGACCCCCACATTCACTGGCTCAAAGTTCCCCCAAAGAGGGATGGCCTAGAAGTGCCCGGCCAGGAGCCCAAAGCCCAGAACCTGGGGCCAAACCACACCTACTGGTCTGCCTCTTTTTAACCTTGCCATGTCTACCCAGGGTATCCCATGGTCTCAGAAGTCCCCCCAAAGGGAAAACTCACCCAGTATCCCTAGAAGGCATAGTAGAGTCAGCGGTGACCAGCAGAGTCCCATGGGCAGGATGCTTCTCCCACCTGTGGGGACCTGGTGGGCAAGGTGTCTGGTCCTGGGTGGTTCTGTTCCTCAGGGAGAAGGAGGAGGCTGGGGGGTGGTGTCGTGGGGCTCTGCGTCACTGGTGTTTGAAGACTGAACTGCCAACTTCCTCCAAACTAAACCACCCTCCCCCCCCCCCGGCACTGGGTGATAGAGCAGACCAGCATGCTCTGTGTTGGCTTCCTTTCCTGGCGGCAGTTCCTGGGGGCTGCCTGCCTGCTCCCCTGCTCTCTGAGCTGGGGGTGGATGCCAGCCTTGACCTTGCTCAGGCCCCGTTCCGGGATGGGAGGAGCTGGGGTCCCCTAGACCAATGTCAGCATGGGGAGCCTTGAGCCTGGCTGGGGTCCAGCCCACAGAGCAGTGGTCATGTGTTTGGGGGACTAGGGCCTTGGGACATTCTAGCCGAGGTCCTGGGGTCCCACTCATTTTGGGGCTATCCTAGTTTTCAGTGCTCTGAGGACATGGCTTCATCTGTATCCTCCCGTCATCTCCTTGGGGTGACTTCCTCGGGGTCCGGCGGACCCACTCCCTGCAGGTGGGGCCCCGGCCAATTGCCAGAACACCTAGGGAGGATTTGAGAGTCACCATGAGTATAAAGAGTGCGTTGTTTCCATCAGCATGGGTGATGTGACACGATGGGTTTGCCACTGTGTGGGATCACACATGCTTCTCTCTGTCTGTATTTACTTCCTATATCCCCCGTGTGGCTGGCGTTTGAGGGTTTCTGCTCTTCGGGGGAGACAGGAAACAATCCCCTTGTTCTCAGTGCAGAAATGGCAGGATCTCAGGCTTCTGCAGGGCTGGGGAGGGAGGAGTCCTGGTTGGCTCCCGCCCGGACAGGGTCTGGGGCCCCCAGCCTAGTAGAGGGAGGCACCAAGGGGAAAGAGATCTCCATTTAGAGTCAAAGGATCTGAGTTCAAATTCATGCCTCTGACACTTGGGCCCTCAGGCAAGAAACGTAACTTTTCTGGGTCTCAGTTTCCTTCTTTGTAAAATGAGATGGTTGTCAGTCTGTCCACAATCATTTATTAAGTAATAACATGTCAGGCACTGTGCTAAGCGCAAAGAAAAAAGGGGAAAAAAAACAGGCCCTGTCCTCAGGGAGCTTACATTCTAATAGGGAGACGACTTGGCACATATAGCATGTAATGCAGTACAATAGAAGGCACAGGGATGGGGGGGCGGCGCCAAGAAAATTTTTACAGAAGGTGGGATTAGAGCTGACTTGAAGGGAACTGGGGAGCCTAAGGGGCAGAAATAAGGATGGAGAGCATTCCAGGCACAGGAGGCAGCTCATGAAAAGGCACATGGGAGCCACAGAAGGAAAGCCAGGGCGGCTGAACCCTCGAGGACTGAGAAGGTGTGCCCTAGAGTGTCAGAAGCCTGGAAGGGTAGGAAGGATTAGAGCCTGGAAGGAAATTCAAGTCCACAGGCTCTTGCTGAGAAGACTCAGACACTGTCCTGAGCTTGTCGGGGGAGCTGGAGGGCTGGGGAGACAAGGTATTTTCTGGAATAGATTAACTCCAATTACTCTAGCTCTCTAAGGGGTTTACTCACAATAGCTACCTGGGGTTAACATCCCAGTTTTACAGGTGAGTAAAATGAGGCTCAGAGGGGGGGAAATTATGCTATCAAAGTCATGCTGCTAATAAATTTCATTGCCAAGAATGGAACCCAGGTGCCCAGACTCAACAGTGCCCTTCCTACAGCACCGTGAAACTGGCTCTAGAAGAAGGGGGGAAGCGGGTTACGTAGCTTCTGAGGTCCTTCTGGTTCTGATATTCTAAGGACATTTTCAGCTTTAACTCTCTATGTTCTAAGTTCTAACTGCCTTTCTGGCTCTGACATCCTGTATTCTGTGTTCTAAAGGCTCTTCCTGACATCTACCCAACCACCACCCGACCAATCACTGAGCACTGATTAAGGTAATTAGGTGGTATTGTGCATAGAGCTCAGAACCTGGAGTCAGGAATTCTGCCTCAAATGCTCACTAGTGCCTTAGTTTCCTCACCTGTAAAATAGTATCTACCTCACCGGGTTGTTGTGATCAAATGAATTAAAATATATAAAGTGTTTCACAAACCTTGAAGTGCTATATAAATGCTAACATCACCACCACCATCATCACCATCATCACCATCACCATCACCACCATCATCATCACCATCATCACCACCATCATCATCACCATCACCACCATCATCATCACCACCAGCATCATCACCACCATCACCATCACCACCACCATTATTATTTCACCATCTGCCAACCACTTTGCCAATATAAAGGTAACGTAGAAATAAAAATGAAACAGTGTCAGAACTCCAGGAGCTTCTAACAGGAGCCTACATTCCAACATTCTAGGTTCTAGGTCCCTTCCAGCCCTGACATCCTCTGTTCTGTGTTCAGAGCGACTCTAATAAAGCCTGAGGGGGCTCCTTCAGGTCACAGGTGAAGCTAGGGAGAGGTTGGAGGGCAGCTTTGGGGGATATGGTCCTCCCCAGGCCTCTAAAGGGTCCAAGTTTTACAGAACAAATCCTTTTACTAAGGGGATTTGTTCTATGAAGTTTGGATTCAGTCAAAGGGCCACACTTGAGGACCTAGAGGGCCGCATGTGGCCTAAAGGCCACAGGTTCCCCATCCCTGGTCCAGGGAATGCCTCCCTCTCCCTGGTCAGTCCTTCTCACCTAGTTGCTCCCCCAATCTGCCTCCTTTCCCACTCATAATTGGGAGGCAGAGAGGCCATGGCCTAAGGTGGTAGAGGATTCTATCTATCTATCTATCTATCTATCTATCTATCTATCTATCTATCTATCTATCTATCTGTCTGTCTGTCTGTCTGTCTGTCTGTCTGTCTGTCTGTCTGTCTGTCTACCTATCTGTCTGTCTGTTCACTTATTTATTTTACCACAGAAATGGCCTATACTATATTTGAAAAGATTATAGCTGGTGTCCAGTCCTCTCATTTTACAGAAGAGACCATTGAGGTCAGAATGGGAAAAGGACTTGTCCAAGGACACGCAGCTGGTGTACCTCGTCATTCCCCATACCCCAAGTCTTCTCCTTTCTTCAGCTTTTCTAGTTTCTCTATCTCCATCTTCACCTTCCATCCCTCTTCCTTTCTTCTCTTTTCTCCCTTCATTTCTTTCTGTATTCTCCTTTTTCCTCTACTTCACAGGATCAAATGGATAGGATTTAGACTGAGAGGGAGATTTTGGAGGCATCTAGGGCAACCCCTCATTTTACAGAGCAGGAAACTGAGGCCCAGGCAAGGGAAGGGACTTGCTCCAGGCCAGACGTTTCCTTAGCAACAGAGACAAGACTGAGAAGGTGGGATGTCAGATGTCTCGACATCAGCAAGCTTTCCACACCCCATCCCCCCTCCCTTTCTGTCACCTCAGGCCTGGCTCCCTACTCCCTCCCCGAATCAGCAGTGGGGCCTCATCAGACCCCATGTCCCTGCTGGGCATTTCCTGCCCTCCTATGTCTGAGACTTTCCATGACACAAGAGGAAGTCAGATGGATTTTCCATGACCAGTAGAGCCTTGAACCTCCTTAGCCCTGGGGTGGAGGCCCTTGGGGTGGGGTGAGATGTGGGGAGTAAGGAGTTCAGGGGGTTCATCTGGCAGTGATCATCTCGGCTGCCTCTGGAGAGGTGCTGAGTCTCACTCTGGTCTCACTGATGGTGGCTGCTGTCCTACCCCAGGTAATCAGCACCTCTTAAATCTCTTTATTTCTCCTCCTTTTTTTTGCAGGAGGTTCTGCACCATTTGGATGCAGTGGGGGTGGCTGTAGGAGTGGGGGAGGGAGCACTTGGCTTGGGGGAGGAGCAGCTGAATCAAAAGGGAGGAGAGGAGAGGAATGGCCCCCGAGAAGAAGTGTGGGAGGGCCTGGGGAACTGTGAATCTGTGCCTTATGGTGGGACCTGCCTTTGGGGGTTTGGAGGGGGGGTAAAAGTAACTGGAAGAAAGCTTGGTGGTCCTCCGGTGCACTCTCTCATGTTAAGGACCCCTTTATTCTAAAGGCAGGAAACAGAGGCCTGGCAGTGCAAGGCCACAGGGCTCTGAAGTGGCACAATTAGCACCCCAACTTTGGTCCTCCAGATCAATCCAGGGGGTCTTTCCACACATCCCTCTGCCTCTCAGCAAGCCAGCCTCTCAAACCACTGCCAAGTGTCTGGGGATCTGATTAGCCTCATCTGGACATGGTTATCCCACTGTGCTGAAGGGTCTCTTCAAAATCACTTCATCGAGAGATTTAAATTAACCCAAAGCTTGGTGTAGAAATCGATTGGGGCAGGCGTGGGATTACAGGGGAATTGTCATATCAGAGCTCGGAGGGACCTTTGAGGCCATCTGTTCAGTTTAATTAAACCACCACCCACCACCACCAAATCTTCTTGAAGGCCCCTACTAATCTGGCCCCTTCCTTTTACACAGAGGGAAACTGAGACTCAGAGAGGATAATTAACAAGTTCCAAAGGCCTAGGTCCCAGCTCACCTTGGCATGTACAAAAGCATTTCAGTATCTACTGGAAAAGGAAGAGGAGTTTCTGGGAGCTGAGCCTGAGGCTAAGGAGGAGATGGGAGGGGGAAAGGGAAAGGGTCGTGGAAAGATGGAGAGAATGGCTTTTCTTCCCTGCTCTGGTTTTAGAGGTGGGGGCGTCTCTCTTTTCCAGAACTGAATCTTTGATCTTTCACTTGCAGTGTGTGGGAAGTCTCATTCCTGGCTTTGGGGACAGGGCAGAGAGGAAACAGCATTGTCCAAAGGGCAGGACTGTGCCCCAATGGAAAGAGGGGTGTGTGTATGTGTGTGTGTGTGTGTGTGTGTGTGTGTGTGTGTGTGTGTGTGTGGTGTGTGTGTGTGTGTGTATTTGGGGGGGATTACCCAGTCAGGCCTAGGTTAGTGCGAAGAGCACAGGATTACTGAATCCGGAAATACGAATTTATTGTAAGATTAGTCACCAATCTCTTCTGTGGGCCTCAGTTTCCTCTTCCAGCTCTAACATGCTATGAATTCAGGTTTGTTTGAGTGTTTAGAGGAAGATGTGTGGATGGTGTAGACAGAGAAAGCACAAGGACGCATGCCAGGTC